TATTTCAGCATTCCGAATGTTATTAGAATATTCTCAAAAAGGCAATCAATTAGCAAATAATTCTTTATAAGATAGCAAAAGCTGCCGAACATAAACTGACAAATAATTCAATCATTTGGTGCAATCTTTTGACTAGAATTTACATTTTAGTAAAAACTTAAGATGGTATACAATTAATAAAAATCAGAAAAATCGTTTTTTTAATTATAATTTGTTTAAGTAATATAAGTATCGTATATTACGAATTCACATATGTCGATTGTTACTCTAGAACTCCTTTTTGTTTATTTGTTGATGTTTTCAGTGCATTTGGTGACATGGTTTTCAAGGGATTTTACAATATTTTTCAGTATCAAGCACATTGGTTTTATTACTTTGGTATTCTATCAATTTATTTTAAATACAAATTAAAATAAAGGAAAATAAAGATATAAGAAATAAAATAAGATGTAGTAAGAAACGTAGACTCTTTAGAAGAAACCGTTATCAATCAAAAAAAGTTCTAGGTGAAGAAAATGTATCTAATTTTGAACTAAAATTTGAATGCAGCTCAGCAAAAAGATAAAGCAAACCTCTGACCCATATCCTAAAGCTCTCAATATCTAATGGGATTTTTCCTCACGCACTTAAATTAGCAAAAGTAATTCCTATATACAAAAATTATGATCATTCAGACATTACTAACTATAGATCAATACTTTCTGTATTTTCAAAACTTTTCGAACGTGTAATTTATAATAGAATCTATGATCATTTTACTAAAAAAACTTATTTTACCAAAATTAGTTAGGATTTTGAAAAAATCTTTCAACTGAACACGCAATACTTGAAATAGTAAATCAAATAATTGATAGTTTTAAACATTTCAAACTTACCTTAGAATGTTTATTGACTTATCAAAAGCATTTGATACAGTGGATATTTGCATCCTTTTAAATAAACTAAAGCATTATGGAATAATTAATAAAACTTATTATTGGATTAAAAGTTTTCTTACAAATAGAAAGTAGTTTATAAATAACCCGCAATCTGGAGTGTTAAATGTTTTAAGTGGAGTTCCTCAAGGATCAATTTTTGGTCCATCTTTATTTCTAATTTATGTAAATGATTTTTGTAATCATCTTTAAAACTGAATTCAGTCATGTTTGCTGATGATACAAATTTGTTTATTACTAACAATGATGTCAAAAAATTATATGCAGATATGAATATTGAACTAAATAAAGTAAATAGTTGGTTTAGGGCTAACAAACTTTCACTTAATCGCGACGTTAGAATTATCTTGTTCTATCTCCACATTTTTTAGTTTTGAGATAAAACGTTTAAAAAATAAAAACTTTAGGAGACGGAGTATAAATTTTTTTTTATAACATGTTTTTTTTCGCAACATTTTTTTACTCATAACTTAGGTTTCAATTTAGTAGAAAGACATTATTTTGAGGAACACAACACTATCATTAACTCAATTTTTTCAGAAAGTGGAGATAGAACAAGATAATTCTAACGTCGCGTAATGTTGAGAAAACTAACTGTATAATATTTCATAAAAAAAATAAGGAGGAAAACCTTCTTCTTAAGTTGTCAGATCTTATTCTTAAATGATAAATTAGTTAAAAGGCAAGTCAGTATAAGATTCTTAGGAATTTGGATTGATGAAAATTTATCCTAGCATCCTCAAATAGCATTTTATTTATCCAGTCTGAGGTCACCAAAACTGTTGGTATGATGTATCGAATTCGTTCATACGTCAATAAACAAAGTCTCAAACTAATATATTTTGGGCTAATTCATTGCTTTATTAGCTATGCAAACATTTCATGGGCATGTATACAACCATCATAACTTAATAAAATTTATAGCTTACAAAAACATGTCAGCAGGATCATTTACTCTAAAGATAAACATGAATACGTTAAAGCCTTAATGAAAGATATGAAAATGATGGATGTATTTGAAATAAATACCTATCAGCATTTAATCTATATGTATTGATTTAATAACAATCTCTCTCCAGCAAACTTTAATAATAAGTTTAAAACAAATGTAAATGAAAACTATAACCTAAGGGCAAATTAAAGTAACACATTTAAACTGCCTTGGAAATTTGATAAATATACGGAATATAGCATTACATATAGAGGACCAAAAATATGGAATATCTATCAAAAAGAACTCAAGTGTATGGTTAAGTCGTTAAGTTCATTTAAGTATCTAACAAAAACAGAAATTTTAAAAACTTGTAGTTTGCATATTTTTTATAATACTTTTATAGTCTTTTTTTTTTTAATTTTTATTTTTGTCATTGTTTATTTTAATTTTTAGCACAGTGCAGGGTGGGGCATAAATAGTGTTGATACATTCTTTGGGCCATATCCAAATGCAAAATGCAAAAAATTTATTTAAACAATAGCCAGAAGAACAAAAAAACAAATAAATTATTTAAAATGGTTGCCTTTAGCCTTAAAACAGAGCTTGAGTCTCTTCTTGAAAGCATCGCAGATGGCACGCAGAAAGGCGGATGAAAGATTACTCACTGCTCGAGAAATTGAGGACTTGAGAGAAGCTAAACTAGCATGTCGAGTAGAGTTGACCTCGGCCTCCAACACTCCCCAAACAGCAAAATCGAGCGGGTTCAAATCGGGCGAATAAGGGGGCCATTCTGCAGCTGCAATGAAATCAGGGCAATTGGCTTGACACCACGCTTGAACGATCTTTGCTCTGTGAGAGGGCGCGCCGTCTTGCTGGTAGCACCAATCCTTATTTTTGAAATGTCGTTGTGCAAACGGTTTAACTCCTTTCTCCAAAATCAGGTCTAGATAAAATTTAGCATTAATTTTCACTCCTTGTGGCACGAAAATTGGCTCTGTCACTCAATCTTCACAAATGCCCAGCCAGACCATCACGGATTCATCAGACAGTCGTTTTCCCACAAAGCGACCTTTGACAGGAGCATCTTTGATCGAAACGGCACAAACTCTATCATTTTGCTTGTTCACTTCTTGAGAAATCGAGAAAATTTTCTCATCTGAGAAGAGAATTGGCTGACCCCGTGCCGCCTTGATGCGCGAGAGGAGAGCCTTGTATTTGACGAGTCGATTCTTCTTATTCACATCTGTGAGTTCTTGGCAGACTTGATGCTTGTAAGCCTTTAATCCGAGATCCTCCTTTAGCACTCGCCGAACAGTCCTATGCGATCTTAGAAGCTCTCTGGCAAGTTTTCGGCCTTTCACTCGCGGATTTCGGCGAACTCGTTCTCGGATCACCTTTATCAGTTGTTTTGTGCGAACAGAACGTGGACTTCCTGGCAATGCCTTTTTCAGTGTTGTTCCAAGCCGTTTCCATCGTTGTACCACTCTTGAGATCGACTGTTTCGTTTTTCGAAAATCCCTAGCGATAGCGGAAATCGATTCTCCGTCTTGAAATTTCTTGATAATCAAATCTTTATCGTTGCTTTATCGCTCATTTCGAAAAATAACACGTAAAATTGTTTTAATATGATAGAAAAGAACTCAAAATATAATAATAGAACAAAAACAGGAACAAAAATGCAAACACATGTCGCCAGATTTCTATCATACTTTTTTTTTGGCAAACACATTTCGCCAAATATACTATCATACTTTTATAGTTTCTTAGTTTTTCGATTTTTAGTTTAAAATAAAGATGATTATATTTTATTAAAACTTTTTAAGGGGCTCTATGAAAAGATTGCGATGACGTTTCGTCATCCTTATCTTCTTTGAGCCCCTGTCTCTTTAATTCTTTATCTAATAAAGATCATTAAAAAATCCATTCTATTTTATATACAAAACAGTGCCTTGGTGACAAGATGTACAATTTTACTATGGATATGTATGTATTTTTTTGTATTTATAAGTTGATTGTATAAGTGATATAAATGTTAAAAAAAAAAAAAAAAATTGAACATGTTTTCTTCCTGTTCCAGCAGTAAATCTTATTCAGATGTTGCAAATAATCATAGTATTTCTGCTCAACATGAACAGTCCAATGTTACAAATGACTGCTACATTTTCATAAACACCAACATATTATGTGAATTATTAACTACCATCGGCCGCTGTCCAAAGTGTTCTGCAAATGTATCCTTTTATCATGATGCTAAGAATAAAAAAAATTTATCACATTACTTATTTTGAGTGTATCTTGCAACTGGGAGCAGAAGTTTTATTCCAGGAAAACAGTTGGTAATTTCATCACATAACTATTCGTTATGTGAAGAAATTACCAACTGTTACAATTTCATAGCTAGCATGAACACAGCAGCTGAAGAAGTACGGAAAAAGACGAGCATACAATAGTCAATGAGGACATCTCAGGTGATGGGACCTGGTAAAAACGAGGTTACTCTTTTAATAGATTATATTTGTAAATATAATACTAAAATAACGAGTCTTTAAATACTTTGATTTGAAAACGTTGTCCTTAAGATGTTTATGTTGGAATTGATATAATAAATTTAGGTTGTTGTTACGCCATCATTAATTTCAATGATGGGTTTATTGGTGTCCATAGAATTTTTTAAAAACTTTAAAACCAGGACATTGTTTAGATTATTTAGCATATTCTGATTTAAAGAGTAAAAAATATGGCGAAAAACGAGAGCAACATGTTCGTAAATGAGTTTTGGACATAGCATCATAAGTTTTTGAGATATTCACCGCAACGTAATCATATTATTTTGGGGTTTGTAGGACCAATTCTCCTTAACTATAAAACTAAACGAAAAAAAAAAAAATGTTAGTCATTAACATGTAAACTTTAATCATTTTATTAGTAAATAAATGCTAAAATTTAATTTTTGAAGGGTTTGAGTTTATTAGCAGTATACCACCTTAAGTTTCGAGAAATGTTTAGGGTTAATCAAGACGGCGGCCATTTTAATAACTGGCTACAAAAACGCCACGTGACATTATCTTCTTTTTAGTTAAAACATGATTAATCTTAATTCCGACTTGACAAACAAAAAGTTAAAACGAAAATTTGTCAGTTAATTTATTACTTTCATAAAAAATTACAGGAAAGTATGAGGTCTGCGAGCTTGGAAGGTTGTACGAAAACTTGACTTCAACACTCGGTGAGGAAGAGGGAAACGCATCTTTGAGTTCTAAAAGGAAACACAAGAAAACGTTACACATGTTTAAATTTAAACATTAGAGTGCAAGAGGGATAAGGAAAAATATTTTTATATATAAAAGATATTTTACATAAGACTATAGAAAATAGAAACTGACAAAGCTTGACAATTTAATTACACTTTTCTGAATTAATTTACGACCTTTTTTTTATGAAAATTATAACAAATAGTTTACACAGCAATACATGTATATGCTGATTAAAACTGATTTGTTTTGTTAATATAGCAGGATATTATTGAACACAAAATACTTTGAGTATATAATGCATTCTGCCCAATATTCCTGCTTATATTTATTATTTAACTTGGGAAAAAAATTAACTTTTTATTTTTAAATAAAATCAAAGTATAAAAATATCATATTTAAATTAATACAAAATTATATTTAAAAGAAAAAAAAAAATAGAAATGTTTTCCCTTTATTTTTTAAACTTATATTAAGTTTAATTATTATAACAAACGAAAGGTTACTTTAGCAAAAAAAAAATTATAACTGAAGATAAGCCTCAGTAATAGAGTGAATTTTGCAACAATATAGTTAAACAATAACACATTATAGTTAAACAATATAACACATTGCTTGCACGGTAAAATAATATACCATTAAAAAAAAGCATTGTGTATTATTGATATAGCAAGATATTATTGAACACAAAATACTTTCAGAAAAGTGCATTCTGCCCAATATTCCTGCTTATAAATACTATATAACTCGATTAAACTTATATGAAAATAACAGGATTTACTAAAAATGCTTTCTTACAGTATATATATTACAGTATATTTACTAAAATAGAAAGTTGAACAAAGATACATTTCTCTAATAGGATAAAAACAATTGAAACAAAACTATGTAATTTTTTTATAAACATTAAAAAGCTAGTATAAAAACATATTTAAATTGGCACAAAATTATTATTAAAGAGAAAAAAGAAAGAAATGTTTTTCCTTTATTTTTTAAACTTATACCAAGTTTAATTGTTATAACAAATGAAATGTTACTTTAGCAAAATGAAAAAATTATAACTGAAGATAAGCCTCAGTAACAGAGTGAATTTTGCAACAATATAGTTTAACAATATAACACATTGCTTACATGGTACAATAATATAACAATTAAATGAAACCATCGTGTATTACTGATATAGCAAGATATTATTGAACAAGAAATACTTTCAGAAAAGTGAATTCTGCTTATATTTCTGCTTGTTCTACTGCAATAAAACAAAATAAGCACAATTATTTTAAATATACAATATTTGTTCAAAGGCAATTATTAACATCGATTAAAAAAAATCAACATCAATCATGATCTTTGTTTTATTTATCAAGGGTATATTTAAAGAATTTCTATAGAAAGAATCTTTTACTCAACACCTTGAATGTGTTAGTGTGATGTGCTTATATTGTATTAATTATTCAGCAAATGTCACACATTAATCAATGTACTTTATCAATAAACCAACAACCTGAGCATGTCTTTAGAACCATTTATTTTAACTTAAATAAACATAGTTACATAGTAATGATATTATCAGCCTTCAAAATTAGGGTCGACATCTGGCAATGCTTACCTAAAATTATTTGCTGATCTGGTTTTTATGTTATATGGCTATAAAGATAAAATCTTTTTGGCAAATTTTAATTGCCAACCTTATACTGACCTCTAATAGATTAAAAAATTGCCAACCTTAGCTTCTCTAATTCTAAGGGCTTAATTATAGATCTAAAGGCAAAACCTTATAATATAAACATAAATTAAGTGACCAAAAGCGATACCTTTTATAGGCAAGAATTTAATATTTTTTAAATGGAGATAGACAACTCGCTTTTATATTTAATTTAGCATAAAACCTTTTATATTAAATTGTTACCATGGAGAAATACTCATGATGATATATTTTTAAACTTTCAAGTTCTAGAAAAATTATCACGAAAAAAGAGCTAATACAAAGAAAGCCGAAAAACTAAGATTAATGTGACAATTATGTTGTATATATTTACTGATTTGGATGCAAAGTAATGTCTAGGAAGTACACAAATTGCTAGACCATCAATTATACAAGATATGCACATTTGATTATTACAAAGCTCTTTAATAGAGCAACTATTAGAACAAAAGAAAGTTACCACAATGCACACAAGTACTGATTTATTAAAATTAAAAGTAACTTATTTAACTTCATCAAATTAATATTTCAGTATTTTAAAATTAACACCAGTGAAAATTAACAAAATGCTTAACAGAAAAGACAATATTTTATTATTTGTGAAATTTTTTAAGAACCATCTTAGCAGACATGTACACAACTTACCTTGTGGTATGATTCTAAGAATAGACGTAACAGAGTGTACATAAATCAATGATTCAGTGATAAATTCAAGAAAGGTACACACATCGACTGAGGGTTTTTACAAATCTTACAGAGTTCATGGCACATTATATACAGGTTTGCCAACATCTCAGTATATTAATTTAACAGATGTTTCAGCACTTGGATAGTTTATCATACCTTATAAAGTTTTGATTCGATTTTTTTAATAGTTGACCTAATGCTAATTATGTATAAAAGATAATTATGTTCTGTGTAATTAACAACACAAACCATATAAACCAGAAATCAATTTTATCACGTCACGTTTGAATAAAAACACAGGTTTTAAATGCAATGACTTATGTTTAAAAGAACAATAAAATACTGCTCAAAACCCTAAATTAAAACAAAACACTAAAAATTTACTGTCTAATAAACAACAGAGATAAACAAGAAATAGATTAAACACAAAAAATAATTAACTAGACAGACTTATTTAACATCTGACTATGCATAATAATAAACTTAAACAATGAGTTAAACAAGCAATTCTTTACTTTCAAAAAGTAACATTTTCAAAATTAGTAACATTTAAAAAGTTACCTCTCATAGACTTAAACAAAGCATCACAGAGCCTACAGCTCTCACTTTTGCAATTTTTAAATCATTGAAGTAATTGTAAAACTTTCTATAACAATATGCTTCATTTATTCAAAAGAAAAAGTATATTAGGCATTTCTTTGGTTAATTTATTCATTAAGCAGTCAACATAAAATATTCATGCATATGTAAACAAAAATTTCCAAGTGCATTTTACAAAATAGCTTAATGTTCTTTCATGAACAGAGCAATATTAATTTTGTAAAAATTACTTATAGTTTTATTTTAGATAGTGTTAGGTCAATAAAGACTCATCAGAAAATTCTTTATTGATGCTTTTAATACGCCTTTATTATAACACTTTAAAAAAAAAAATGACTTCCTACCATTTCATTTATAAACATAGATGTATATTTTTGATTACTTACATGCATTTGCTTTACATGTGGACGTTTACAATTTTTTGATTCTACAGTTTCAACTTTCAATATTTGAATGGAACTTGCACGAGCACGATGACGAGCTGCCATATCTTGGTAACACTGTGTTACTGCACCAGTTGTGGTAACATCACGATATTCCCTGTACATATTATGTGTACCACTTCGAGAATTGTAACGGAGCCATATGCCAAAATTCTTAACTGTTGTTGGACTTTTATCAAAGATCTATTTACAATAAGAGTAAATTTAGCTTTACAAGCAAATATTTAATCAGGGTTCCTACTATTAAAACTAAGGCTAAAATTAAGGATTTTAGGGAGATTTAAGGAGATATTTTCCTAATATTTAAGGAGAATTGGTCGCGAACGAAATTTTTTTTGAAAGAAAAAGTAAGGACAATTAAGGAGAAAACGATTACATTAAAAACATAACCTTATTCTTTTTAATAAATTCTAAATATAAATAGAGAAATTATTATTACTTTATATATATATATATATATATATATATATATATATATATATATATATATATATATATACAAATATTATTATATATATATATAATAATAAAAATAAGTTGGAAAAATATCAAAACTCTATATACTATCTTCTTTATTAACAAGTATAATTTATTTCATTTACTTTAAAAAAATTTTCTAGATAAAAAAAAATGAGGAGAAATTAAGGAGAGCAGTCAAATTTTAACTTTTTTTAGGGTTATTTAAGGACATTTAAGGAGGTTTTTTTTAGGATATTTACGGTTATAAAGGGATGTGGGAACCCTGCTAATCCATTAAAAAAAATTTAATCCAACAACAGCTAACTATTATATAAACAAATTATTATTTTTATTTAAATTAAAAAAAAAGCATTCAACTCACTTCAGAGCATTGAACAATTTCGCCCACAGCTTTTTTAAGCTTCTTTAATTTTTTCATAAAATACCAATATCTTGATTTAGCAGATACAACATCTGAACAGAATATTCTCATACGGTAAAGAGGTGGTTGAGGATTCTTGGCATTTGGTATACGCCTTCCAATGATTCGGTATTCCTTTAACTATATAGCAAAGTCAGTATGCATTTCATAGCTTTAAAATGAGCTGTTAATGGGGAAAGGGTATTATATGTCCATAATTAAATATCAACTAAAATATTAATTATATTAATATTATCGAAAAATGATTGAGTACGTGAGGGGTATAAATATAACGTTTAAAAAAACTGCTCACTTCGCCGAGACACTTCATCCTGCGGCCTTCCACACGAGGATGCTAAAGAAAGATGGCTGAATACGACGACCCTTGAATCCAACTGAGTTGGCCAAAGAGCGTATTTTGCGGAATAAGAATTATCTCCGTTATAATACATAATTGCAAAGAGTTATAATAAATTTAATAAATCCATAATTGTACCTTTAAATATATAAATAAAACATATAATAGTCAAGTTTAAAATCTAATTTTTTTAATCTTTTAAAAATATTGTTCAATTAATGCAGGGCCGACGACACGGGTTTCTAACTGGAGGGGCACAAACTTCATTTCTAAAAAAGTCTTCTATATCTAGAAATTTTAAAAAAGATGCTTTAGTTAAAAAGTTGGGCGGAGGGGAAGACCTTTCTTGCCACCCAGCCCCCATGGTGTTGTTGGCCCTGAAATGTTACTATTCTAAGCATTTAGTCATATAACTGAATGGTTTTTGTGAAAGACAATTTTTTTGGTCTTCCTGTTAAACGAAACGTTAGTCAAACATTTTTTTAAGCTTTATTACTGAAAAACAAACTGTATCCTTTTTATTATTTTATTATTTTATTATGTAATTGATTTATTTTATTTTTTTTTAAATGCTAGGGGTGTATCGGATTGGAAATTTTGAATTCCAGCTGGTACCGGGTTTACCGGAATTGTTAAAATAATTCCGGCCGGAAAGATATATATATATATATATATATGTATATATATATATATATATATATATATATATATATATATATATATATATATATATATATATATATATATATATATATATATATATATATATATATATATATATATATATATATATATATCAAAATGGTGGTGATGTCAATGAACCAATGAACTTCTTTTTAAAAACATTCAACACAGTTCTTGATCGTCATGCCCCGTACAAAAAACTGACCAAAAACCAAGTTAAACTCATATCTAAACCTTGGATCACTAATGGAGTTCTGAAGTCAATTGCAACTAAAAACAAGCTCTACAAAAAGTATATAAAATCTAAAAATTCTAACACAAAAAGTCAACTATTCGATAAATTTAAATTGTACAGAAATAAAATTAGCAATTTATTAAGAATTTCCAAAAAGTCATACTACATCTCATTCTTTAACAAAAACCTCAACAATATAAAAAATACATGGAAAGGAATAAAAGAAATTATTAACATCAAACCCTCTACACTAATTAAATCTTACACTCTCAAGTCTAATGGTAACACTATCTCAGACAATATGACTGTTGCTAATATTTTTAATAAACACAATGAAACAATACAACACCCACTCAAAAGTAAAATGATTTCTTCTAAATCTTTTCTGACTATTTAAAATATGCTAATTCTAATTCTTTCTTTCTTAACCAGTGACTGAAAATGAGGTGTCTGATTTAATAAAAAATAATTTACAATGGTAAAAGTTGGGGCCCAAATAGTATCCCCACACACCTTCTTAAACTTACTTCACATGTTATCTGCAAGCCTCTCTGTACCATATTGAATAATTCTTTTAAAAAAGGTTTTTTTCCAGATATTTTTAAAATAGCCAAAGTTATTCCTATCCATAAAAAGGTTTCTTTAATGGACCACAGAAATTATCGACCGATTTCTCTTCTATTTAACATTAGTTAAACATTTAAAAAAGCCATGTACAACAGACTTTATATCTTTTTTGACAAAAACCAATGACTTTACAAACATTAGTATGGATTTCGTAACAAACACTCCACAACTCATGCACTTATTTAAATAACTGAAACTATTAGAAACGCTCTTGACAATAAACTTTTTGCATGTGGAGTGTTTCTTGATTTAGAGAAGGCCTTTGATTCTGTTGACCACTTCATCCTCTTAAGTAAATTAGAACATTACGGTGTTCGAGATAATACTCTGCAATAGTTTTCATCGTATCTTTTTAATAGATCGCAATTTGTCTCCATCAATGATGCCAAATCTATTCCAATAAAATGCTCCACGGGTGTACCCCAAGGTTCTGTATTTGGACCATTGCTTTTCCTTTATTTTTATAAATGATCTTAATATCTCTCTAAAATTTTCAACGGCTTACCATTTTGCTGACGACACCAACTTACTCATAACAAACAAATCATTAGAAAAAATTAACAATCATATTAATCATAATTTATCTAACATTCTTTAATGACTGTGCTCTAACAAACTAAGTATTAATACCAACAAAACTGAACTCATTATTTTCAAATCAAATCAATCTAAAATGTATAAAAACCTAAACTTTAGACTAAGTGGACAAAAAATCTTTCCTGTAGTTTTATTATAATATCTTGGAATCCAAATTGACTCAGATCGATCTTTTTTCTCTCATCCTCAAAACTTAGCGTTAAATTTGTGTAGATCAAATGAGATGCTAGCCAAAATTCGCCATTATGTAAATTATGAAACTCTACTTAATATATGCCATGCAATTTTCGGATCACATCTTAGATACGCTTGTCATGTTTGGGAACAATGCAAGTTTAATGTTTTTTTAAGGCTATGTAACCTACAAAACAAAGCTTTAAAAATAATATTCTTTCAACAGTATCATTCTAACTCTGACATCCTTCACTTTCTATCAAAAATACTCAAACTATGTGATCATGTTTATTAATTAAATTGTCTATTTGTCTGGAATCATAAACAAGTAAACCTCCCTCCGTCTCAATTTTTTTTACCACTAAAAAAAGTTCTCGTTATTACCTTCGATCTTTGAGTAACTTTAAATTATCTATCCCAATTCAAATACCGTGATAATTCTATTACAAACCAATGCGTAAAATCGTGGAATAAGTTACCTTTCCACTTTCAATCCCTCAACTCTTTTTCACAATTTAAAAACTTTTTGACTTTTTGATAGAAAAATACTCTAATTAAGATCTTAGGCTTATAATCGATTATTATTGTTGTTGTTATTATTAGTGATGTTAATATTACTTACATTTTATTTACATTTTTTTTACCGTCTTTATTACTTATTAAAATAGTTTAATATATAAATGTGATATTTGTTAATAGTATTATTATTGTTATTATAATCATTATTATATTTAAAAAAATTATTGATATTATTATAATCGTCTTCATTTAATTTACATTATTATTATTATATGATTAATTTTATTATTATTATTCGTACAATTAGTAAACAACCATGAAAAATATATATATATATATTATATATATATATATATATATATATATATATATATATATATATATATATATATATATATATATATATATATATATATATATATATATACATATATTGAGCAACGTAATAGCAATAAATGTGAACATATTTTAAAGAAAAGCACCATATTTTGTAATCTTGACACGTTTTGCAAATATCATACTACTTTTTCAAAAGATAAAATAACAATTTAAAACTCTGGATATAAATTTTTAACAGGTAACATCTTTGATAAGTTTTTGTATAATTTAATTATGTGAAAACATCTGTTATAGTATGTAAACTTATCCTTATATAATTCTTTATAATAAAATACAATATTTCTAGGGGTTATATGCAGGGCTGTGGAGTCCGATAGTAAAATTTCTTGGTATTTCACGTGCATGTACAAAACATTCAATTAACCTTACGTTCATACTAAACCTCAAAAAATGTTTCATAAACTTGCCAAAAAAAAATTTCAGCTTATCGCGCAATATTTTTTAAAGAATTCAAAGAATTTTTCAAAAATTTTGCTTTGGAGTAGGAGTAGGATTCGGAGTTGGAGTCGGAGTCGGAATCGAAGTTGTACTCAAAAAATTTCAACTGGAGTCGGTATCGGAGTCGTTACTTTTTTTTTACAACTCCACACCCCTGGTTATATGTATATTTACCCTCGTTATTCAAGTAATATAAAAAAACCGTTAAAAAACAAACAAACAAATGATAAAACTTCAATGTAATGTGTTCTTGCGTCTTAAATAAGAAAAATAAGGTTTCCAAAACGACGACGTGACGTAATCACCGTCGTCTTCATTCAAACCACCTTCATTTTGGAGAGCACTGGTGATACTGAATTTCCCAAGACTCTCTCACTTTTCTCTTAAAATAGTCTACCTCTACTTAAACAGTGTTGTTTTTATTCCAGCTATTATATTACCTAAATTTTATTTTGAATAGCGGGGCAAATTTTACTTTGTTTAGCAAAATTTTACTTTTGAAGTAAATTCAATGTTATGTCAATGTTTAATTCAATGATATGTATCTAGTAAGGTTTTCAATACAAAAAAAGCTCCATTGGTATTCAGGTATATAAAGAATATCTTTACTTTGAAAAGCAATTTTTTTAATATAAACAACAAATCAAGAAAAGTAACAGTTAATAAAACTTAATTTAATATTTTTATTTATAATACTTTTGATTGTAAAAAAGTCATTTTGCTAACATTTTTAATAGTTGTGTAAAATGCATGTCTTCGGTGACAGCTTCATGGTCAGCATCGTGTTCATTTAGGTCTTTAAAAAAATGTTTTTCAATAATAATTTTATTAACTGCATAAATCATTTTTAGTTTAAGATTTCGCTCCACATTCATTTTTGGTTTTTTGAAATTGTCATTGCTGACATAAATTTTGAAAACGCTAACGCATACTATTATAGTTTGTATAACACCATTTTTTGGAGTAATAAGCACATTCCTTTTTTTTATGTTAATCAATGAAAGAACTAATGCTCCATAAAAATATTCCACAAAATTGTTTTGGGATATAAGTGAGTTTGCACACAAAAAACATGTTATCTTATAATAATCTTCTTACAATAAATCCAGAGCTACTTAAGGATTACAATCCTTAAGTAGCTCTAAATTACATAACACATTTCTAGTTAATTTTAGCATATAACTTGGGTCAGGGATTACATACAAGTAGTGATTATAGCCTTCAAAAGTAAATTGTCCATTAATTTTTTCTAGTCTTTTACCAAATGTACATCCTAGTGATGCAACAGAATTAAAGTTAACACTTACACCATCAAATGTAATTCTACTACATTAATTTTTTTTGTAATTATACTACATTAATATTTTTTTTAGAAGAAATTGTTAATGTTTTTTTAATAAGA